CATTGGCCTTGCCCAGTTCTGGCTGTTGTAACTCCTATTGTGAGTGAAACAGGTGATAGAATCTCCCTTGTTCTCTCCCTCTCTCTTTTATTAACAGAAAGAGAAAGTACATACATTTTGAAAAAAGTATTTTAAAGTAAATACATTTTGGCAAAAAATGTTTTCTTTCTAAATAACCTGTTTGACAGTCTTATCACAAAGAGACTAAGATGGACATAGATCAAAATACTTTTTTATTTAAAGACTGTATGTATTAATTTGAGAGGCAGAGTTACAGACAGAATGAAAGACAGAAAGTTCCTCCATCCACTGGTTCACTTTCCAGATGGCTTAGCCAGAGCTAAGCCAATCAGAAGCCAGGAGATTCCTCTGGGTCTCCCACGTGGGTACAGAGAACCAAGCACTTGGGCCACCTTCTGCTGCCTTCCCAGGCCATAAGCTGGATTGGAAAAGGAGCATCTGGGATACAAACTGGTACCAATATGGGATGCCAGCACCACAGCCAGAGGCTTAGCCCACCATGCCAGTGTCACCCCCTAAAAGCCTTTTTAAATTAATGAAAGATACTACATAAATATGAAAAGCTTCAGAAGTCCAGGAACAATATAGAAAGTAATCTAACATTTAAAATGCAGAATTAAAAAGAAAAGTTCACTTTGGTTAAAAAAATTTAATCTACAAATACACACTTTCCATAACCTTTATGAATCATGTTTTATAGTATGCATTTATGCATTTTCAATGAACTTCTAGACCAGTTTTATGCATGGGTTACTAACATTTTTGCACTAAAATAAACTTCTTTTTTCTTTCAACTTTCCAGAATCTTTGTGAAGTCCCTCATAACTGCAATAAATTTCAGTAGGAAGAGAATAAATGAAAAACAAAATATGTATTTTGAAATGGTGAAAAGCTTCTCAAATTTTATTTAAAAAAACATCAATTTATAGATTTGAAATGTTCAGTGACCCCTTAATCAACAGATAGAAAGCTACTAAAGGCAAATAAAATGAAGGATTCCAAATACAAAGAACAGACCTTGAATGTTGTGAAAGAAACAACAGCCTACTGGGTCAGCTATGTATGAATGATAGCTGACTTCTCCTCAGAAATTAGTGAAAGAAATCTTCACTACACTGAAAAAAATATCCTTCCACCTTTGATCCTATATGTAGTGTAATTGCTGTAAAATATGAGATGAACAAGGGCAGGTATTTTCGCTCATTGGGTTAAGCTGCTTCTTTGGATGCTCACATCTCATATCAAAGTTCCTACCCTTGCTTGTGATTTAACTTCATAATAATGCACACCAGGTAAGTGCCAGATGATGGCTCTAGTAGCTGGGTCACAGATATCCACATGAGTGATCTGGATTGAGTTCCAGCCTCCTGGCTTTAGCCTCGACCCTGTTCCAGCCATTGCAGGTATTTGAGGGAGTGAAACAGCAGATAGAGCTCTTAATTTTTTATCAAGTAAATAAAAATAAATAAAGCATTAATCCATGAAGTATACAAAAGACATTTTCTGAACAGGAAAATGAGAATATAATATAAAAGAAGCAGTCCATTTTCAAATAAAATGATACAAAATGAATACTTGGATTAGTAGGAGTTAGGAACATAGGAGCATTTTTTACTGCCAAAGGCCATTTGGATATTACAACATTATGTGCTGTCCATACAAAATTATCAACTTAAAATTAGCTTGTTATTAGCTCCTTGAATTAATAATACCACCTGTGGTTGTCTTGGCAGGGTCAAACCAAATGATTTTTTGGGTCTTATATGGCTAAAGAAATACTCAGGGACTTTTCATCATAATAAATAGATAATACATCAGGCTGATCATATCATTATAAATGCTAATGTGCCTAAAAACAAAACCTCAAATGATATGAAACAAAGTCCACAAAACTAAAAAAGAAACTTAAGAAAAATCCTCAAAAGTAATGTTAGAAAATTGATTTACATTTTATAGTAATTGATGAAACTAATAAAACATCAACCATAAACATGAATGACAGTATTGACCAAAATAATATTTATAAATCACTGTCCAACATTCACAACAACAGAATAAATGATGAGCTACAAATCAAAAATATATCATGGTGAGATCCAAGATGGCTGAATCGGGTATAGCCATAATGACTTAAGCTGCTCTGAGATATGAACAGAACAAAGGAAATACTATTTTCCAGAGAAGTGACTGACTGAAATGTTAGACAAAGAAGTAAAAAAAAAAAAAAGTCAGTCACCCACTGACTTCCTACCTCAACCTGAGAGCTGATGGGGTCTGAGCAACTGATGAGCTTGGAGCAGGGAAGCCTCCTTGCTTCCTTCCCCTCCCTGATTCCTGCAGAGCATGACACTGAGCAGAGAAGATACACAGTGAGCCTCTGCTCTGCTCCTACCAGCACTGTAGAGTCAGGGCAATGTGTAAGGCAAAAGACAGATCCCTGCATCCTGCGTCTGTGGGAGTTTGGGGGCAGAGCTACACTCACATACTCTACCTGAGCCAGGGAAAATCGCCTTAGCTTCTGGGGGCTACCACCAGAAGCAGGCCATAAAAATGTTTGTTCCCACCCCAGGAGATCTGGGTAATGATCCACTATACCTGAAAGACCAGGACTGTAACAATTATTGTAAATTTCTGAGTGCCACTGAAATCTACCCAGTGGACATAGGGAAGAACCTGCTTGCATTCCTCCTCTCTGGACCCATTTACTCTGCAGAGTAAAACCTGTACACCTAGTCCTAGGACTAGGGTTGTTGTTATTACACAACAAAGTGCCAGTTGGACTCTCTTACCAAGAACTGAGGAAGGGACAATCCATATCACACAGTCCTAAAGCCACAGAAATCAGTGCCACAAATCCCAGTATCACTCAGGCTTGCCGGTAAGTCAAGGACCAGCCATCCTCATCTTCCTCAGCACCAAGAACAAGCCCTTGGCTATCGCAATCATCAGGGAGACTTAACACAGAATCTGTGGACCAAAGATGCACACCCAAAGAAACCCTTATTCATCTAAAAGGCACATTTCCATCCCTAGGAACTGCAGCTGACTAGACCATTGTGTTACTAACAGACACAGCTGACAGCCACTAAAATAAAAGGACTCACTCAGACACTACAATCCTGGGTTCACCTAGAACCAAAGCCAAGGCAACAAGATTTGCACAAGAGAAATGAAAATAAAAACCATAATGAGGTTTCACTTCACCCCAGTAAGAATGGCTTTCACCCAAAAGTGCCCCTCCAAATAAATATTAGCAAGAATGTAGGCAAAATGTACCCTAATACACTTAGGTGGGAATGTGAACTAACACAATCATTATGGAAGACATTTTGGAGATTCTTCAGAAATCCAAAAATGGATATAACATATGACATAGTCATCCCACTCCTGGGAATTTACCCAAAGGAAATAAAATCAGCATATGTAAGAATTACCTGTGCCCCCAACTTTATATAGCAGCTCAATTCATAATAGCTAAGATAGGGAATCAACCCAGATGTCCATAAACTGATGACTAGATAAAGCAAATGTGGTATGTGTGTGTGTGTGTGTGTGTGTATGTGTGTACACACACATATATAAAATGGAATACTACTCAGCCATAAAAAAGAATGAAATCCTTCTTCTGCAACAAAATGGATGCAATTGAAGACAATTATGCCTACTGAAACAGGTCAACCCTAAAAAGACAAAAATATTTTCTTTGATTTTTGGTAGCCTATACAGCAGAAAAAAATGTATGAGTGAAACTGACATCTTGAGATCTGATTATCATCTGTATCCCTTTTCTATATTCCTCAGGAACAGTGGCGTTTCTACTATCTACTTGTTGAATTCTTTATTTGGTGGAGGACTGAGCTTGTGATTATAAAGTAACTTGAAAATGTGCTATCACACAAATTAAAAGAAAAATAAGAAAGTGAAAAGGAGGAAGGGAAGGGAGAGAGAGTGAAAAGTATCATCATGTTCTTAAAACCATATATAGGAAATACATGAAATCTGTTCTACTTATATAAATAAATAAAATTTTAAAAAGATATTCTAATTCTAGTTAACAGTGCTTGTTTTTATTCCCAGCTCTTGCTTTTGAGGCCAATTTTATACTACCACATGTGCTGGGAGGCAGTGGTGATAATTCAAGTAATTAGGCTTCTACCACTCATGTCAGGGGAAAGGAGTACATTCCTGGCTCTTGGATTCATTCTTGGTTACTATGGATATTTAGGAGAGTAAGTTAGTGGATAAGAGGCTCTTTGATTTCTCCTAATCTACCTGCCTCTCTTTCTAATTCTCAAATATGTAAATATATTTTAAATGTAAAAAATTCAAGCAAGGCAAAAGCCAGACAATATACTTAATGACATTGATAAATGTTTGACTAATTGAATTGAGGGTACTTTGAGTAGCTTAAAGTATGAATGAAGAATGGAATGATTTGCTGGAAGACAGAGCTTTGGGAAGTTTGCAGCACAACCAGCATGTATAGTCTGGCAGGAAGAAATGTATGTAGAGCTGTTTAAGAACCTGAAGAGATTCTGCTCTCCACACAACCCCAGTCCAATCCAGAAATCTGGTACAGTCTCCCAAGGGTATTTTCACAATTCCTAAAACACTTTATTAACTGATTTATTACCAGTTAGCAACTCTTACCAGTGCAGAATGTTGTATGTTTATTTCTAGATTGGAACTAAACCACTTCCACTTTAGCATCATATGACCAATAAATACTATTCCAGACTTCATTTTCCACTAGAATTTAGCAAATTCTAATTTCTGATTTGAACCATGTAACAGTATGTCTTTGAGGCATCAGAAAGACTGTAGACAAATTTACAATCAGCTCTGATGGCTCTAATACCTTATAACTATGACAATGCTACCTTGTTTATCACTTTTATGTTTCCATTTTAATTTAAAAATGCTCATAAAGCTCCTATAATACAATGTAAAACAAGTTGAGAAATAAGCAAACAACTTACTGGTGTTGTATTCATTTTCTTTGGCCCCCGAAACATGTAGTGGCATCTACAATTATACCTGGAAAACAAAGTGAATACAGGGAGTTGTGAGAGAACTGGTCTCGCTTGCACTTAGACTCTACAATGTAGGGAAGATCATGATAGATATGAATGCAGAATTATAGATATATTAGCTGGAGAAACAGAAACAATCTCTGTGGTGAGTTAGCAATTTACACTTGATGAGGGGAAGGGAAGATCCTGAAAGAGCACCCAAAATTTTACTAACTGGCAGTGATTAAATCTAGTTATCCTTAGGTTAATGGAATCATTTTGTTGCTACTTATTTTTAAAAAGCTAGTGATAGGGCCGGCACTGTAGCACAGTGGGTTAATGCCCTGGCCTGAAGCACTGGCTTCCCATATGGGCAATGATTCTAGTACCAGCTACTCCTCTTCTGATCCTGCTGTCTGCTATGGCTTGGGATAGAAGTAGAAGATGGCCCAAGTCCTTGGGCCTCTGCACCCACATGGAAGACCCAGAAGAAGCTCCTAGCTCCTGGCTTTGGATCGGTGCAGCTCCAGCCATTGCAGCCATCTGGAGAGTGAACCAGCAGATAGAAGACCTCTCTCTATGTCTCTACCTCTATCTGTAACTCTGTCTTTTTAATAAATAAAATATATCTTTAAATAAAAAAGTTAGTTATGACTGAGAAGCAAGTTATTATTTTCAGGATGACTGTTTAAACAAATTTCAGTATATCATAGAAATAAACATCATTTTGTCACTAAAACCATACTACAGAAAAAAAATACTTGAGTGGTATTAACTACTTTGGTATTACTACAGATGTACTGAACAGGAGTCCGTCCATATACTGAAAATCCTATAGAATTTAGTCATTTAGCAACCTGTGGATTTTTACCCACAACTGTACAGTAAAAATGGATATAATACATACTTATTGTACTATACTTTCCTAGTAATTATCCCAAATAACACACCTCCCAACACACAAGCCTTCAAATAATCTTCATCACAATGATCCTTGGCATTACCATTTTTCTTGCTCTACACAACTGGACATCAGTAAATATGACACCTATACACTTTGAAAAGTACTTGCTTATTGGAGTTTACCTTATTAAACATTTATATTATGAAGAAGTCTGGGACTTGCCTATTGGAGACACAGGGTTTGGGCAAGAGCCAGAGCAAACCACCAAACTTGAGAGGGTTGTATATGGTGATGCTGGTTAGAATATTGCTTGGGACACACATCCCATAAGCAAATCTGTGGTTTTCATCCTGGTTATTCCATACTTAAAATAAAACACCCTGCTGTTGTACCTGGGAGGTAGTGGATGATGGACAAGTACTTGGGTTCCTGTTACCCTCAAAAGAGATGCAGGTAAGATTATTTCCTTCTGGCTTCAGCCTGGCATAGCCCTGGCTGTTAGGATAATTAGAGAGTGAATCAAGCAGCAGATGGAACAGTCTCTCTTTCTCCCTCATCCTTTGTCCCTCCCTCCTCCACCCCTTCTCTGATGCTCAGCCTTTTAAAAAATAATTACAAAGAAAATTATAACATAAATTTTTGTTGCTTTGTTATATATCAAATGCTGATATACTCTTGGTAAGGAAGAATTTAATTGCATGCCATATACAATCAAGAGACCTTCACATAGACCTGTTCGTGAGCATGAGTCATGCCAACTCTGTCAGCTAGGCTGCTGCCACACAAAATGCCTGGATATCATAAGAATGTATTGAGGGGCTGGTGCTGTGACACAGTGGTTTAACATCCTGGCCTGAAGTGCCGGCATCCCATATGGGTGCCGGTTTGAAACCTGGCTGCTCCATTTCCAGTCCAGCTCTTTGCTGTGCCTTGGGAAAGCAGTGGAGGGTGATCCAAGTGCTTGAGCCCCTGGGCCTGGGAGACCCAGAAGAAGGTCATGGCTCCTGGCCTCGGATCAGCACAGCTCCAGCTATTGCGGCCAATGGGGGAGTGAACCATAGGATGGAAGACCTCTCTCTCTGTCTTTGCCTCTCCTCTGACTTTCAAATGAATAACTAAATCTTTTTTAAAAAAGAATATATTGAAATATTTTATACTCTAGTTGGGCACTGTATTGCATTTTATTTATATTTTACAAAGTGATTATCAGCAGTAGTCTGATTTGCTCACATTTTAAATAATTGGAAATGGGCCGGCGCTGTGGCTCAATAGGCTAATCCTCCACCTGTGGTGCCAGTACACCGGGCTCTAGTCCCAGTTGGGGTGCTGTATTCTGTCCCAGTTGCTCCTCTTCCAGTACAGCTCTCTGCTGTGGCCCAGGAGGAAAATGGAGGATGGCCCAAGTGCTTGGGCCATGCACCCACATGGGAGACCAGGAGAAGCACTTGGATCCTGGCTTCAGATCAGTGTGGTACACCAGCTGTAGCACGCCAGCTGTAGCGGCCATTGTGGGGTGAACCAACGGGAAAAGGAAGACCTTTCTCTCTGTCTCTCTCTCTCACTGTCTACTCTGCCTATCAAAAAAAAAAGAAAAATCTAAAAAAAAATAATAATTGGAAATGGACCAACACTAAATCTCTGCAACATTTATGATTGTCAAAAAATGGGTAACTGATATTAACAGAGAAAAACTTGCATTATAAACATATTTGATTCACACAATCCATAGACAGTATGGGGAGGGGAAGTATGGTCATATAAAGATACTTAGTCTTTTCTACTAAAATAATTAGTGTTCCATCCTTGGGTCATATTCCAGAGTTGAGAAAACTATTCTAGTGCATATTTTGAAACAAAAAGTGTCCACAAATACAAAGGTTTCAATCTCCATTAATTACATAACTAAGAGCTTCTGAAATCCATCTGTCCATCTAAATATCTAACAAATCACTTACTGTTCTAAGAAATGGATCTGAACTTTTCCCTCTACTTGTTGGTTTATGTTACAAACTAGGCAAATAGGCCAACAGAGGGTTTCATGGAGCTCTCATATGAAGATGGCTAGAATTGAGATGGGCTTGAGTGGAGTAGGACAGGGTACTGACTCTTGACCCACAGCCTATCCCTGGCTTTCTTTGTGCCTCACCTATGGTTTGCCCTGTTGAAATTCCCAAGCCTTCTCTGATCCTGCCATTGCCCTTTAGTGACTATTGTGCAAAATTGAATTTATAGCCTAGGTACTCTCATCTCAGGACACAGAAGAAATTACATGCTTAAAAAAATGGGTCTCTGTGACACATTCCTTTAAATAAAAAAATGAACTTTCAGGGATCAAAGAACTAGTTTAGCAACACAACATACTGGTTTCTCATACCCATTCCCAGGAATTGTTCCCTTGGTCATCACACACCTCTTTCAATGGGAGCTGTTCCTACTGGGGTCAGATATTTGGATTCAATGAGGAGTCCTGATATGAATAAAAGTGGGAAGACCATACTCACAAATAGATGGCTAACCTTAAGCAACTTCTTTATCTGTTTCTTAAGTATAGATATCATATGATGATTGCAGTTCATGTTTTTGAGCACCAAGTCATGACAGCAATTCTAGTAAGTAATTTGTACTGGATGAATGGGAATAAATAGTCGCTGTAGTATAAAGGGAGAGATGAATAGAAAGGAGATTGGGTAATTAAGATTCCATCACAAGGATTATGAAATGAGGTTAATCTTTTTCTTTTTTAAAGATTTATTTGAAAGGGAAATAAGGAGAGAGGCAGGAGAGACTGACAAAGAGATAGATGGATCTTCGTTCTTGTGGCTCACTCCCCAAGTGTCTGCAACAGCCAGGATGGGGCCAGGAGTCAGGACCAGGCCATTCTATCTGGGTCTCCTATATGGCTGGTAGGGATCCAAGTTCTTGGGCCATGTTCCACTGCTTTCCCAAACACACTCACAGGAATGTGGATCAGAAGCAGAGTAGCCAGGACTCCAAATGGCATGCCAATATAGAATGCCAGCATTGCAAGCAGTGGCCTAACCTACTGCACCACAATGTCAGTCCCAAATGTTAGTCTTCTCAGATTCATCTCTGGTAAATTATATAGTCACATGCCTCTGATGTCTGACCATGGTTTGTTTCATGTTAATTCATTTCTTAATTTTATTCTCAGAAAAGATATACAGAAAAGATTAATGCCATCTTTTAACCAATATCCCTTGGTCCTGAATCAATCACTGTTCGTTATCTAGTTAATATGCTGTCATCCCTTGGTCTTACATTTATATTCATATTTATATGTAAATACGCAATGTAACCTACAGAGGAAAGTCGACATTTTATATGCATTGGAGTTTGAGACACTAAAATATACATTACATGAAAAGTTTGAAATAATACAATATATTCTAAGTTATATAATTTTCTTAAATAGCATAATTGGATATAAATGCAAATTCCCATGAGATTCATCTGTTAATAGTACCTATACAATTCACTGTTTTCATTCAGTTGTAACCATCACCATTGACAATCTTATAATTTTTTTATCTCCTTAAAGTGTTGAGGTTGAGTTTAGTGGTTAATAAACTGCTTGGGTCAGCACATCCCAGACAGCCTGGGTTTGAGTCCCAGCTCCATCCTGATTCAGCTCCAGCTTCTTGCTAATGCTCACCCTAGGTCTGTATCACCCAGAAGGTAGAGGCTCAAGTAGTTGGGACACCTAGCTACATTGGTGACCAAAATTGAGTGCCTAGCTCCCAATTTATAACTGTTTAAAAAATAATTTATTTGAAATTCAGAGAGAGTGACAGAGATTTTTCCATCTGGTAGTTTATGCCCCATCTCTCCAAATACCTACAACAGCCAAAGTTGGGCCAAGGCAAAATTAGGACTGAGGAATTCCATGCAGGTCTCATCTCTCATACTGGTGTGGGCCAACATGTGTTGCCTTCCCAGGCCTAATAGTCAGAAGCTGGATTAGAAGTAAAGTGGCTGGGATCTGAACTGACCCTCTGAAAAGGGAAGTGAGCATCCCAATTAACACTTAATTCTCAGTGTTATCATGCCTGTCTTACCAGCTCCCAATTTTAACTTAGCTCAGTCTTATTTATTTTGAATGG